GAATGGTTTGAACCCGATGTCTTTGGCCTAGCCACCTAGCTAGCAAAGTATTTGTTCACTTGTCTACATGTCATGTAAGTGAGATTTCATATAACTACACAGTAATTATAAACAACTGCTGGCAAGAACCTGGCAAGGATATCACTCAAAGTTTGTCAAGGAAAATTTAATATACTAAAATACTAAATAAATACAAGTGTGCAGACACTACAGCAAGGACTTTGAAATCATATTAACCAGCCATGAAACCCTACGCAAATATCGCTATAGCAGTAGTAGTACCAAATCAAAAGGACAATAAAATGTACAGAATTGCCAACCATTTACAGGTTGTTATGTCTGCTAATAATTTGCTGTTCATATACTTTTATGTTCGTAGTATTATAAACTTTGTAGTTTGTACTTCTGCTTCAAATTTTCTACAATATATAAAAATCTTACCGGTGAATAAAAAGATTCTTCTTGTACATCTCATACATCTACGAGCGGCGCAAAAAGTCAGGATCCTCGACATTGTAAATCAACCAAGTTATAGGAGAAAAAATATCAAGATTTTCAGTGCGATTTTTACCTCAAAAACAAGCGAAATCATAAAATATCTGTGCTGAAACCAGGGGGGTGAAGTATATTGTCGAAAACTTAGGATCGCGGTTGGGACAGTGGTAGTTGCCATGAATTTAGGGACCAGTAGTCATGGCAATGGCGTCAGATCCGCCATGTTTTTGGCTTCACTTTTTTTTCCCGAGCAGGTCCTCCAGTAATATAGTATAGCTACGGTGGCCCAGAAGTGCAAAACACAAAACAAACAAAGCAAAACAAAAATTACGTTTCTTTATCATTTTTACACTATTGTGATACATTTTTACCCAAAACATGAAACACAACTAACCATTTTATCACATAATTTTCTTTTTTTGTGACACGTTTGAAAACACAAAACACATTTGGAATCACAAAACACATTTGGAAATCACAAAACACATTTAGAAATCACAAAACACATTAGGAATCACAGAACACATTTAGAAATCACAAAACACTTTTGGAATCACAAAACACATTTAGAAATCACAAAACACTTTTGGAATCACAAAACACATTTGGAAACCACAAAACACATTTGGAATCACAAAACACATTTGGAAATCACAGAAATTGGAAATTCCGAATCATAACAAGCGCTTCCACTTCATAAAACTGGATTTCCTGTTTATATCCTTATTTATTTATCCTTATCTGGCATTTGAAATAGGCTATTATTATTTTTTTTATTCGCCCAAATATATAAATAAATCATATAACAGAAACTATTTACATAGGGCTAGGAACCTTCTAGAAACCATAAGGCATTAAGGCTTTTATTTAAGGTCCCTTGTTTTAGGTTCTTATTAAGCCTCAATGGTTGGAATCTAATAGTTTCCTGCCACTATCTTAGCAATTCATTATATTTTCTGCCAATTTCATTCCAAAAAGGATTTCCTGCTGTTTTTTCTTGCCAGAGCCCAACATTTCCTTTAGCCAGGAATTTCCTTGCATGCGGAAGCTATGAATTCACAAGTCACAAAAACCATTTGTTACATGAAGTGTTGACAAATGTCTTCAAATTTCAAAATGGCGTCTGGAAAACGTGGGAAAATTGTTTGAAAATATTCTTTTACATCAAACAAAACAATGAAATGTCCAAAATGTTATTCAGATGTTTTAGAAAATATAATGAATTGCCAAGATAATGGCAGGAAACTATTAGATTACAACCATTGGGGCTTAATAAGGACCTAAAACAAGGGACCTTAAATAAAAGCCTTAATGCCTTATGGTTTCTAGAAGGTTCCTAGCCCTATGTAAATAGTTTCTATTATATGATTTATTTATATATTTGGGCAAATAAAAAAAATAATAGCCTATTTCAAACTCCAGATAAGGATAAATAAATAAGGATATAAACAGGAAATCCAGTTTTATGAAGTGGAAGCATTTGTTATGATTCGGAATTTCCAATTTCTGTGATTTCCAAATGTGTTTTGTGATTTCCAAATGTGTTTTGTGATTCCAAATGTGTTTTGTGGTTTCCAAATGTGTTTTGTGATTCCAAAAGTGTTTTGTGATTTCTAAATGTGTTTTGTGATTCCAAAAGTGTTTTGTGATTTCTAAATGTGTTTTGTGATTCCAAATGTGTTTTGTGATTTCTAAATGTGTTTTGTGATTTCCAAATGTGTTTTGTTATTCCAAATGTGTTTTGTGTTTTCAAACGTGTCATAAAAAAAGAAAATTGTGTGATAAAATGGTTAATTGTGTTTCATGTTTTGGGTAAAAATGTATCAAAATAGTGTAAAAATGATAAAGAAACGTAATTTTGTTTTGCTTTGTTTGTTTTGTGTTTTGCACTTCTGGGCCACCGTACAAATCCAACTTCGACAAATCTATTAATATAACCTTATCTACCCATATCTTTCTTACGGCCACTATTGCCTGGGTAAGTGCCTATAAAACTTCAAACCAAACAAAATCATGTAGTAAGAATTATATTCTTTGCTACCTTATGTGGTAAAAATACAGATAAACCCCTACCACTAACAAATCTTCTAAATATTGTTACAGTTGAACATATATATAAATTGAATATATTGAAATTTATTCACAACTGGCAAAATCAGCAACTTCGTCTATTTCAATTCCTGCTTTCTCTATGCCAAAAATGTTCACACATATAACACCAGAAAATAATCAAAAAATAATCTCTACAAACTCTGTTTTAGAACAAATACTGGGAAACAAACAATATCAGCAATGGCAACAAACGAATGGCAAAATTTACCCTTTGACCTCAAACAATTAAATAGCTATACCTTCAATAAAAAGCTAAAACAATACCTATTACTTAAACAAAATGACTTCTGATAAATCTACAACCCACGACAAAAATAGTTGTAACATTGCCGATATGTAACTTATAAGTGTTATCCCCCTTCCCCCCTGCTCAATGTTGGTAAAAGCGGTGGATTCATCAGGTGGAAAGCAAAAGTATCAACAGATCACAACATTGAAGAGGGGTAGCAGGCTTTTGACGAGGGTTGTATGAATATAGACGTTTAAATCTTGTTATTGCAGTGAGCGATAAAATACTAACATACAACACAAGTTCTTGTGTGTGTGGTAGTCATAATTATAGGTGCAGTGTAATTATATTATAGACTCCACTTCAATAAATGGCACTGCAATGAAATAAGTTGTTGCAATATTTTTATTTAATGGCTAAACATGAAATCAACTCTTATGTGAATGATTAACCTCTACAATTAACCATTTACAATGCCATTTTTTGCGAGTCTTTTAGTTTTTTTCTTTAGTATTTAGTTATCATGAAACTATTAACATACATCTTTGTTTTCATAAACGATAAAAACAAACAACACTTACTAATACAATTTAAACAGCACTCGTTTTGGTTATTCATGACAATACATATATAAGTTAACTATTAACTAATCTTAGAGTGGCAAGACGAATAACCATAACAATGTGTTCTCAAACGTTTGTTTGCACTATAAAATGCGAATAAATAATTAAATTAGATTTTTATGTGCAGGTAGATAATCAAATCCAGGTGCTTTAAACGCACAATAAAATGTCTGATAGGAAATATGACATGACATCAGCCTGCTGTATGCAAGCACTTAACAGTAAAATTTGGGTCTTTATCACGAAGAGTTTTTATTGTTCTTATTAATTTTCTCTGATCTCCAGGACTGACAGCTTCTTTGGTCTACCAATTTTCTTGCATGTTTTCTTCTCAGAATAAGAAAGATTGACAATTTAGATATTTTTCGTTTTTTTTAGCAATTCCTATGCAGGAATATCATTTCTCTTTGCCTAGATTCATATTGATAGACATGCGTACCATTGCATTGTAGATAATAATTCTTGACATATTGAAATAGGTGGTTTTAATAAGATGTAAATTGCACAGAAAGAAAGGCATTTGCACAACAATGCATGAAGATTCTTTCCACAAAGCCCTTATTCTTCTGGCGAAATATTGCCTTCTATTTAGACAGGGTTTCTTTTTTTATAAGACACAGCCTCTAAGTGACTAAGTGATGCTTCAGTGTGTGGAGAAGAAAGAGCGAGGGTTAACAATTGAATGCAAAAGGATCCAAACCTTGTGGGTGGAAAACGGCTTCACTTACTGGTTGCAATTTCTCACAACAATGGGGTAGTATTGGTAGAAGAATGTGAGGAAATGATTGGTGGCCGATTTCGCCAAGTTCATAAGAAACAATGATCCCTCTCCGCAAAGCCTAGCAGCTAAGATAGCTATAAAAGAAGAGGGATACAAGTTAGTTTGTATCCTAGCGAGATCACCAGACTTAAATCCAATAGAAAACATGTTTCACATAGTTAGGAAGCAGTTTGATGCTCAAGTTATAGACTAACAAATTGTATGTGAGGTATGGGAACAATTTAAGACTAGAGTTATAAATACTTTATATAATGTTTCTGTAGAATGTTTCTGTTTTTTTCAGCCTATTGAAAGTACTCAGTATAGTGTTGTAGCAAAAGAATTTTTCGATTTCATCAAAACGAGAAAATTTTAGAGCCGTTTGAACATGCAAAATTTGGGCTTTTGGTTGGCAGGCATCCGTGTTCAAAGGAAACTGGAACGAGCGATTTTTGTGCAAGTGAGTCGGTGTATATTCCATTATTCGACTATACTAGTGTTACATGGCTTCTTTGCTATGAGGAAATAATACTCTTTCTTGGTTTGTCCACTTTTGTTTTACTTTTAACATACAAAATAAACTTTTAAAAACTATATATCTCGTTTTGTTTAGTTACAATGTGTTCATTACGTTTTCCCGCGGTCCTACCGACCCTATCGCGTTCCTATAAACGTCATGTTATACTAACTGTTCGTTGAACACTGTCTAACACTCTCCCCCACTAAACAAATGACATCCATGGCATTTGTCTTATTTATGAGTATCTATTTTAACTCTAAATCAGTCTTCGTATCCTATCACAACTGCATGGGAAACATGTGGTAGTTTGTAAGACCATGGATGTTGTGTTGGCATCGGGACTTGATAAAGTTGAGGAACAGGTTGCTGGAAACTATAGGGTTGTGGGACTGGTTGCTGGAATTGATAAGGTTGTGGGACTGGTTGCTGGAATTGATAAGGTTGTGGGATTGGTTGCTGGAATTGGTAAGGTTGTGGGATTGGTTGTTGGAATTGATAAGGTTGTGGGATTGGTTGCTGGAATTGGTAAGGTTGTGGGATTGGTTGCTGGAATTGGTAAGGTTGTGCGATTGGTTGCTGGAATTGCGAAATCATGGCTCCACAATGATAACAGGATGCATGTCCAGGTGCGTAATACACGAGACGTTGTGGAGGTTGTCTATTTCTCTGGGGACGATTTGCAACATTAGCATCTACTGTTTCTTCTGTACCTGCTACAGGATCGTTGTTTGGAACGTTATCGGGTTCTGCTTCATCAGGTTGGTCTTCGCCATCTACGAGTTGTTCCTGAACTGTATTATCTTCAGAACCGCTTAGCTGGTATTCTCCATCTACCAGTTGTTCTTCAACCACATTATCCTCAACCCCGCTTGATTGGTGTTGTCGCGTTTCTGGTTCTTTCACGATTGGTCGTTTTGCATCACTCGAATTTTGCAGTTCCACTCGCAATCCACGTGACACGGAAGGAAATGCATCTTCGTCATCGGATGAGTCAACAACGTTCTCGCCAACGGATGTGTCTTGAACAGGTATTCTGCGTTGTCGAGGTTTTGGTTTGGCTGATTCGCTTGTGAAGTAATCACATGGAAGTAACATGTTTCGGTGTAGTGTACGGTTTTTTCTCGTTGAATTGGACTCTGATCGAACTTCATACACAGGGCTGTCTGGCCCTTTTCTTGACACCACTACGTGCACCTCCTCCTCCCAAAAAGATCGTAGCTTTCCCGGGCCTCCTCTAGGCGAGAGATTACGAACCAAAACTCTGTCTCCTTCATTTAACATTGTTGATCGAGCTTTCTTGTCCGTAGTGTTTCTTCGCCCGTTTTGCGTTCTTGTTCGCTGCCGTTGAAGCTTTCGCGTATGCTTCTTGCATTGCTGTTTTCCATTTGGCCACGTACTGAGGGTACCCGGTTGGATCATTTGCCTTTTCCATCTTAAATGCAAGATCAATTGGCAATCGCGGAGATCGACCAAACAGCAAGAAAAACGGAGAGTAACCAGTTGTTTGATGACGAGTACAGTTGTACGCATGTACTAACTTCGCAACGTGATCTTTCCAGTTTGATTTATGTTGTTCAGGAAGGCTTCTAAGCATGCCAAGAAGTGTCCTATTCATGCGTTCCACTGTGCCATTCCCTTGCGGGTGATAGGGAGTTGTACGCGAGTGACCAACTCCTGACAACTTCTCTAACCTATTGAACAAGTTATTCTCAAATTATTTACCCTGATCATGGTGAATTCGTTCAGGAAATCCAAATCTGGGAATAAAGTCGTTGTATATCTTGTCAGCGGCCGTAATCCCCGCTTTGTTCTTAGTAGGATATGCTTGTGCGTATCTTGTGAAGTGGTCAACCACTACTAATATATATTCATAACCTCCCGAGCTACGTTCAAGATGGACAAAGTCGATACCAATAAGCTGAAAGGGGGAAGTTGTGGTAATGGATTGAAGTGGTTCTCGAGTTGGTAAATTGGGTCGTTTTTGTCTTAAGCAGCCGCAGACGTGGGTAACGAAGTGCTCGATGTCCCTTCTCGTGTATGGCCAGTAAAACCGTTCCCTCGCGAGATCCAAGACTCTCTCGGATCCCAGGTGACCCATGTCCTCGTGTAACTCTTTAAACACGCGTCTACGGAATTCTTGTGGGAGCACCACTTGTGACCGATGGTACAAGATATTAGACTTCGAGTCAATTCGTAGTTTCGGCAATTCAAATAAAAACCGTTTCACCTCAGCTGTTTCATGTTTTCGTTCTTTCAAGGTGGGAGTTTGCTGAGACTTGATGATATCTTTTACA